ACAAACCAAACTTAGTATAGATAAACGTTTGATGAACATGTGATTTTTGTAAACAACAAAATAAGATTACAACCAACAAAGTATGAAGGTGAGAGAACATTGCTTACAATTTGATGAATGTATGATTTATGCTTGGCACTAAACTTAGTGAGAGAACTCTCTTTTGAATCATGCTTAAACTCAAAGGAAAAAAGACAAAATAATTGAGAAGATTGGAAAAACATTAATAAAAAGGAAGAGAATAGAAGTGAGTGATTAAACATGCTTAAACCTGAATAAGAGATAATATGCTTAATTATAGAGTAGAGAGAAGCTAATATAAGGTTTTATTTTTCATTTTATGTTCGGCATAAGTTGTAACTCATCAGTTGTAGAAAGGATGTTGAATTAGCTTAATTATCTTTATTATACCAATTAAAATTTATTGAATCATGATATTTATGGTATTTTTTTTTTACCATGTATTTCTTATAATATAGATTTTATGTGAGTTTTTTTTTTTTTTTTTAACAAAATTTTATGTGAGATGGAAGATGTTTACTTTTTATTAGATTTATTTTAGGGAATAACGAGCTATCATTTCATGGTATTTATATCCTTTTTAAAAGGTGTAGATTTTTGTTTTAGGATAGACTCTGGATTTATTTTTGTAACGCCCCAAAAAATTATACACAATAGAAGTACACCAACTTTCACTCCTTACGATAAACCGAAATAATCTCCAACACTATATATAATCATGAGAGATTTACAAAATAGTTTTACATGCAACTATACATTCAACGACTTTAGTACAAGAATCTATAACATGTAAAACATCCAGTCAGAAGTAAATAAATGCCCTCAAAGGCTACAAAGTCCAAGGTTTAAGCCCGGTTACACAAAATGGTTGCTCGAAACCACACAAATATAGCTCTTGGCTTGCAAAATATAATCACAACAAAACAAGAGTCTTGTGTTCTCAACATACACATCCACGCCCTTAGTTTGGCGGAATCACCACATCTTTTCCTGCACAAAATCCCATAGGGTGAGCATAAAGCTCAGTAGGAACTTCTTAACAAAGTATATACATTTTATACAAGTCTCATGAACTGAAATGCACATAGCATGCTATGGATTTTTTAAAAAAGTCGCATCTTCATCTTTTGAAAGCCATCATGCACAATGAAATCTTGAAATTTCAACAATTCAATAATCTTAAATCAAGTTCAAAGGGCGATAAATACAACTCAGGTAATCCCTAGGTTGGTGTCTGCAAGTAGGCATAACTAGCACTACCAAATCCCTACTTTACCGGTAGCTAACCGAAAGGCACGTGGTACCTCCTCCGTGCGTGTTTTCAGTCTTTCACCCTGAACACTCAGGCCAACTTAATCAATTTCATCTACACCCCCTATCCGGACTTACCAACGTATTTACCCCAAAACAACTGAATGACAATCTTGTTTCACAAACATTTCCCCTTTCAATGCAAACTTTTCAATTTTTAATTCAAAACTCATAATAACCAAATGAATTGAATGCCAACGCAACATATATCAATGCATTATAATATTCTTCCACACAATTTTTCCATTGTGATCACAATTCCCATTTCTCTTTCCATTGCAATTTCACAGGTTAAACATTTACTTATCAATCTCTATCGAGAAGCAACAACATTTCCATATTTCATGTATTTTCATCAACTTTATCATTTCATGACTATATTAACATTTTGAACAACAACTTCAAAACCAACTAATTCTTATGCACCATGGAATTTCTCATTTCAACATTTGTCATACTATTGGTCAAATATCAATTTCATAACATCACTACATTTTCTCAAAAATCTCCAAGTTTCTAGGGTTTCCATAAACTAGGTTTCCTCTTCATTTTGAAAGAAATCATTTCAAGATAACACTTCTCTACAACAACAAAGCTCCAAAATCTCAAGGGTTTTTAGAAAATATTATGTAAACCCACTTTTAAAATCACCCACAACTCATGAATCAAAAACCGAGTTTAACACCACAAGAAGGAGTCCCAAAAACTAAATAATTTGTAAAAATGTATATATAACTCAAAGAAAAATCTCTACCTCAAGTTCTTGAAGGAAAAAGAGAAGAAAGCCCCAAAATCAACGGTGTCGAAACTCGATCTCCATTGTACACAATGTAGCCCTCGAAGAGTTCTCCAACTTTGGTAGAGGAACTAAGGTCAAAAAGTTAATAAATTTAGAGAAATCAAGGATTTAGTGAGGTTTGGTGTAGGGCACCAGTTATTGCAAGAGGAGTAGAAATGTATTTTTAGAGAGAGAGAGATGATGAAAAAGTGATATACACATAGTCCAAGAAGAAGAAAATGAGGAAATTTTTTAACTCAGCGACTCCCACACGTGTGTGCCTTTCCCCGCACGTGCAGCCTCCACCCCCGCACGTGTGGCCCTCCCTTACCCACACCTGCAGTTTCACGTGCAATTATTTCAATGTTGCACCCTGACCACCCCTACTTTCTGCGCTTGCAGCCTCACCTCCTGCACGTGCGGCCCAAGCCCCCGCACGTGCGACTTTGCCTCTCAGCCAAAAATTTTACCAGCTAAACTGAAAACTCCCAGATCCAACATCATCTCTCCCGAAACATGTGAAACTCGACACCGAAATAAATAAGAACGAGATTTTTGAGAAAAGTTTTCAAAAACAACAAACCCAAACAGTTGACAAGGCTTCAAGTTAAACCCAACACTCTAACAAAAGTGAACCCAACATAAATCAAAGAGGAACGAGGTGGTTTACGTACCCAGTCATCACATTTTTTTCCCTTTTGTAAGTGTTGATGCAAGCTTTTGAATTACATTAAATATTTCTAAATTTTGATTTTTAATGTCTAAGGATAGCCAATAGGTGTTTTTAAAATTCTATAAAAATCAAAAAAATTAAAAAATTGAGTTTAAAGTTTTCAAGCATTTAGAGTCTCTTAGACAAAAAAATCACTTTAATTGATTAGTATGAAATTACTGAAATCACTCAAACACTTAAAATAAAAGTTTCCATCTTAAATTTTGCTTAGAGCCTCCATAAAATCAGGACAGCCTCACGACCTTGGATGATGAGGAGCACTCCCTTGTGCTTAATGGCAAATGGCTTCTTCAAGCCATATCAATAAATCCAAGTGAGGAGATTGTCCTTGTTAGTTTAGTACACCAAGTTCTCATTTGTAGTGGTTTGTTGACAACAATTGGGTGGTGTTTGTGGTGGTTTTTGGAGGCATTCACGATCTTGGGGTAATAGGTTTCTTGGGTTTGATATTTGTTGTAGTGATGGTGGTCAATAGTTGTTAGTTAGAGGTGTTCAAAAAAATCGGTAGAATCAATAAATCAATTCAATCTCGTCTAAATCATCGGTTTAGTTAAGTTGGTTCTGGTTTTGAAAATGGTGGAACCGTTCAAATCGGTACAGTTCCCGCTCCCAAGGCTTTGATTATGGTTCCAAACCGAATTGGACTGTAACACATTTATTATTTTTTATATTTTTATATAAAAAATTTAAAATATGAAATGTTTCTTATAAGATTTGAAGACTAGCTATCATTGTGAAATTTATAAGCTTTAACCAACATAACTAAACTAATTATTATTAATTTATTTAGTAACATCAAATATATATCATATTTATTATTGCAAAAAAATTTTAGAAACGTAAACCGAACCGAACCAAACAATAGAAGTGTACTAAACTAACAATAGAGGGGCCGGCAATGAGAGAGTGGTATGGGTGTGGTCTAAATTAATTAAATGTAAGTGTGCCATCACCTAAGTCACGTATGGAATTTTATCATTTTACATTAAGTCGTGTATGGGTGTGGTGTTCTTAAATTTCATGTGAACATATAATGAAAAGACAACTCGTTTTCTATTATAGTTAGATAACAACATATAAAGATAAATCTAATTATTTATTTATATTATAAATAAATATTTTTTTATTTTTTATCAATTTTTTTATTTAATTTGTTCATTTCTTTTCTCTTTTTTCTTTTTATCAATTTTTGAAATCAGGTTGAAGTTTCTACGGTTATTATTTGGGTCATCATCATCTTCATAAGTTTCAAGTCTGTAGCAGCCCAAGGTACAGATCCAAAACTGCAAAAGCCTTCTTCGTTTGATGAAAAAGATTTTTGGAAAATAAAAGGAATAAATAGTCCTCTTGTAATAATAATTATTGGATGTATTGTTTTAATTTTAGTTGTAGTTTTTTTTATTATTTGGTTAAGACATGTGCATGCGGCTGGTTTAGGAATAACATCACCAGTTATTGCACAAGGACTTGATCCACAGATAGTGGAGTCATTTCCTGTGCTTACCTTTCCTATTGATGGAGAGGTTGATTTTGATATCACTTACTGTCACATATGCTTGGAGGAGTTCCTCCAAGGAGACAATGTACGAATGCTCCCTGCTTACAGGCATATTTATCATATTGATTATATCCAGACTTGGCTAACTAGAGATACTCAATGCCCTGACTGCCGTTATAACTATGCAACATAAGAATTGGAAAACATGCCACCTAATTTATCTTAAGTTGTGCTTCTTACTCAAAGTAAATCATAGGGCATCTTTCCAATCACTATGTTGAATAGTTATAACAATAGTCAGGACATCGAGTCTCTAGAAGTTAGTTAGACTTAGATATATTCAATGTCATAAATACGCTTGCAAATGGGAGCACTTGTACACTCTCTGTTCCTAAACTCCTTCAAACATATATGATAGTCAATAGTTACAAAACCAACCCCTCTGATGATCAGTAAAAAAAGTAAACATAAGAAATGACTTCATTATTCCTGTGCAATAACTAAGTAAAATATCGCACACAACTATTGCTATAATAAGGCCAACTGCATGTACCTTCTTAGTAAGGTTATTGATGTAATTTCACTGTACTTGTACATTTTTATTAATCAATATATTTCCTTTTGGCTGATTAAAAAAAGGGCCAATTTGTTTCGTGCTGTTTGTTTACAATTGATGGGTGTTTTTATTATGTACTTCATCAAAATAAAAATATATAGTGTATTCAATCCTTGCTTTAGAAATGTGCAATCAAAAATAAGAAACAAGCCTAGAACTTTGCTTTTCAAAAATCTGCAAGAGGGCCCAATTCTAGAACAAAATTGTGTCATTAAAAATTACATTCCCATCTATTAGTGCAAAATGCATCAGTGATGTCACCACTGCCCGATTTTCGCCATCATCGTGGAAGATCAGAGATAGACTAGTACCCTAACAAAGATTCATTCAAATGTTTCCTGCACCAGTAAATAAAATTTTAAAATAAAAAGAAAAACAAAGTAACGATCGCATAACAATAAATACAAGCATTATAGTCACGATTATTACAATAGACAGAAACAAAAATAGGATCTGTAGATAAGGCAGTATCAAAAAGGAGAATCAAATAACTAATACTTGCAGTACACCTAAACATGTAAGGATTCATAAAACATAATACATATAGATTTGATGGTTCAATTGAATAGAAGAAGCAAATACAAATGATAACCTAACCTCTCTGTAAGGTGGGATTTTTTGTTCAAAATAATGGCTGCTATGGAGTTTCCAATTAGGTTTATTTCTCAGGTTATTCAGTGTGTGTCCACAGTTAGTTATTCCAGTGTGTTAGTTATTCCATTGTGTTGAATGGAGAATTGGAAGGTTATTTCAAGGGAGAAAAAGGTTTAAGGCAAAGGGATCCAATTTCCCCTTACCCTTTTCTTTTAGTTATTTGCTCTTCTTAAGTATAATTTGACTCACGGTCAGTTTACTTTCCATCCTAAGTGCCAATCATTGGGTATCAGTCACTTAGCCTTTGCGGATGATCTTTTTGTTCTGTGTGGGGCTGATATTCAGTTATTCAGAATTATAAATGACATTTTACATCAGTTCCATTTATGGTCTAGACTTCAACCTAATCTACAGAAGAGTGCTGTCTTCTTTGCTGAATTTCTTCTGTTTTAAAAGCTGATTTACTGATTGTTCTTCCAATTCCAGAGGGTCTATTAACTGTCAAGTACTTGGGTGTGCCTCTTATTTCCACAAGATTGAGGTATGGGGATTATCTTCAACTGAAGGACAGAATACGCTCTAGGATTCAGTTGTGGGCAAATAAGCTCGTCATATGGGGGAAGCATGCAATTTATTCAAATAGTATTCTTTAGTGTATAGATCTATTGGAGTTCCCTTTTTATTTTACCTCAAAGAACTCTAAAGGAGGTGGAAAGTTTGATTAGAGCCTTTTTATGGTCTGGTTCTGAGCTCAAGCAAACAGGGGCCAAAGTTAAGTGGGAGAGTATTTGTGTTCCTAAACAAGGAGGAGGGTTAGGTTTTAGATCGCTGAAAATTTGGAATAAAGTCAATATGATTAAACACCTTTGGGATATAAGTATGAAGGCTGATTCACTTTGAGTTGAATGGATACATACCTATATTTTAAAGGTTCAATGCTTTTGGTTTATTAATGTCCAAATGATTCCTCATGGACTATAAGGAAGATATTCAAGCTTTAGAGAGATTGGGCAGCCTCTTATTCATTACAGAATAGGGGATGGCAGTCCCACCTTCTTATGGCTTGATAACTGGCATCCCGTGGGGCCTCTTTATCAACATTTTGGAAGTAGAATTATGCAGAATATTGGTAGTGCTCTTTATGTGAATGTAAGATGCTGGCATTGGCCTAGATTAAGAAATAAAGCAATTCGGCAAGTTATTGCTTTAACACCTCATACCCATATTCCTAATCTGCACAGATCTGATCAAGCTGTTTGGTTACCTTCAAAGAGTGGTAGCTACTCCTCTAAATCTGCTTGGGAAGCTCTAAGGCCATCTAGAGCAGTGGTCCCATGGTGTTCTATTGTTTGGTTTAAAGGAAATGTGTCTAAATGGGCTTTTGTGAATTGGCCGATTTGTTTAAAAAAATTAGCTACCAATGATGGTTTATTGCATTGGGGAATGGAGGTGGATCCTGCGTGCAGTTTGTGTTGATCTGTAAATGAATCTCATGAGCATTTGTTCTGCTCTTGTCCTTTTACTGGGAAATACTATGTTCAAACTTTCCTTGGCTTGCACTTTATATCATGTATGATTGGAGAGGAATAGGAGAATTTGTACTCAGTCTGTTAGTCACAAGCAAGTGATAGTGGCTGGAATAGTTAAGGAAGTTAGAGCTAGAGCTTGTTTGTAACGCCCTCAAAAAAAAGCATTAAACCCATTAGATAAGACATGCGTGATAGTGGCTGGAATAGCTAAGGAAGTCAGAGCTAGAGCTTGTTCTTTCAAGAGAGTTAAGAATTCTTTGCAAAATTGGCAAATCTGTATGGACTGGGGGCTGCCTTGTTCCATTCTACATACCTGATAAATAGATTTTCTAGCTTTTTTTTGTTTTGTTGTTTTGTTTTGGTGTTGATCTGTGTTTTTTTGTTTCTAGTGTGCAGGAGTAGGTCCTTGTTTCTTGTTTTCTGTGTTTTGTGTGGAATAAAATTTGAAGTCACCAAAAAAAATAATTACCTAACCTCTCTGATATGAAAAAACTACTAATTCTACCAACCCAATTCAATAAAGATACAACTTTCAATAATGAACAATCCAAACCCTAGGATTTGGATCCGCAAAAAAATCTGAAGTTACCTGGTTTAGAAACTTAAAAAATTGTGCAGCATCCCCAAATTTCATTGTTCCTATATGTCCTAGGTTGAAAGTAGGCTTTCAATCTCCAATCTTTATATTTATGATCAAAGTTTCCAATTATTCCTCGTCATTACTTTAGGATATGACGTTCTAGGTTAACTATGCTTGTCTGATGTGATCAGCTCACATATTCACCTTTCTACTTGTTGCTTATGAATTTAACCTTTATTTTAAGCTATGGAGCATCATAACTGTGATTAGCCTATTGATATTGCATATACTTTGAGGTAAAGATGGGCTATGTTACATGAACACTAGAAATTAAATAAGGTTCTAGCAAGAGAATTCATGATGAGCATTATTAACCAACTACCTAGACAGTTACTCCAAAAAAATGACTGTGCAAAAACAAGCCTTTGGAGAATTTAGATTTTTGGACATCCAAAGGCCTTCATCCACATAGTTAAGATTACTCACCCTATCTATGTGTCTAATATACATATAGCCTATAGGTGTCCAAATCAAGAAGGAAAATATATTATTGAACTAAACTAATAATAGATAAAAATGAAACATGAAGTAATGTTCTTGAGTTACTACTTTTAAACTAGCAAATAGTAAGAAGCCTATGATCAGTACCGATGCTACTATTAAACCATAATTCTAGCGACTAAACGTTATGCAATTATACAGAAGATATTAGTATCAATATTAGTAAATAAATAGCCAAGTAGACAGATAAGCAAACTTACTACGAAAAAGAGTCCCTCCGACATTGAGTTTGTCCTATCTTCTTCTTCTTCTTCTTCTTCTTCTTCTTCTTCCTCTGATATTTGAACCTGCATTTGACAAGAACAAATAACATGAATAAAATGCCATATTGCAAATTTCATGATTAACTATGTACTCGCTTCCTTGGATGAATGATGGCAATTAAACGATGAGGTATGCATGGGATTGTTGTTGTGAATGCACACGTGTAGTAGTTGGTGCAATAGGCCCACCCATAGCCTGTTGAGACTCCAACTACCCTATTCGTGCTTGTTGAGCTTGGATTGTACCTTGCATCTGACTAAACATAGCATCCATCACTCCTTCACTTGCATCTCCATTTGTACTTTATGTTGGTTAAGTTGCTCTTGGACTTGCGTCTCAATGAGATGAGCCTGCTCTTGTGGCTGCCTAAATCCACCTCCAAAGACATTTGTCGGAGAAGGACCCAATCCATATGTTCGAACACGACCAGGTTGATCAAGCCCTAGAACCTGTGTGAAGATCTCCTCATCTGTAGCACTGGATTGTACTTCGAGCTCCTTCATTTGTGTCTGCAATTGTTAGTCAATGTCACCAATAAAATTTATATTAACAAAACTAATAAGAGTATCAAGTCTATGCATCCAACTGTGTCCAAGTGTCATGAAAACACAACAATCACAGCTGAAGCACCAGCAGAAAACACAGCTGCAGCCACAGCCACAGCCACTAAAGCCCAAGCGACTCATCCAAGGGCTGCAGCCACAGTACAAGTATATGCCTCTAATAAAAATCATCTAAACCAATGCACTAGGAAAATGAATGATCAAAAATAACACTATGCCAAGAAAGACAAATCAATAGGCAAATAGAGACACTCTTGGGACTCTCTCTCTCTCTCTGGTGGAGAAGGGGAGGTATCATCCCTCCTTTGGGCTGTTGAATTTTGTGTCAAGTTTTATCTCCACGCTACAGTCAATCTTAAGCTTAGTAGTTGAATAATGCTATACAAATTATATATATATATATATATAATTACTTTACAAAGACTAGTACACACTAGTTCAACCTAACATCTTCGTTTGAGTCATTTTCAATTAAATTGCTATTGTGTCATTAACTTAGACCCCCCCAAAAATGGTGTCTTTGAACGAGCAAAAAAAGGAAAAGATGGTGTCTTTTATAGCCTTCTATCCAACTTCTCTCAACCGATAATAATAAAAAAACAGGACTTGAAGCGCGGGATGGCAGAACCCTCAGGAAAATTTTCAGTTCGATCCTTCTATTCCCTAGCTGAATTGAATGGTGGTCAAGTGTTTCCCTCTTTAAAGTCCAATATTTTGGATGGCTAGCTTGGCTTTGAAGAGTTAATGGCTCCTAAGGATTGGTGTCTCTATAGCTTCCAATTCTAGGTTATGTCTTTTCTGTAATGATAAGCTGGAAACATCAAACCATCCCCTAATTGATTGCCATGCTGTTTGGAAAGTTTGGGCATCTATCCTAAGATGATGGGGTTTGTCATGAGTGGCTCCTATATCAATTAAGTCACTGAGTGATTGGTGGAGAAGATGGAAAAATTAAGGAAAAAGGTTGTTTGCACTACAACAAAATTGAATTTTTACGACTTGCAATGCATGCCGTAAAAACTCTTTCACGGCATGCACACAAATGCCGTTATATGACATGCCGTGGAAAGTTGAGTGTCATTTACGATATGCAAATAAAGTTGTAAAATGTAATAAATTAAACATTAATGACATACTTTGTATGTCGAATATAATTTTTTACAACATTTTTGTTATGCCATAAATCATCATACTTTCCATGGCATAATTTTGCATGCCGTAGAAGATTAGTTTTAATATATTTATGGCATACTATGTATACCGTATATAATCTTTTACGACATTTTCTTGCATGTCATAAATCATTACACTTTTCACGACATAATTTTGTATGTCGTAAAAAGTTATTTTTAGTATATTTTTGGCATACTCTATATGCCGTATATAATCTTTTACAGTATTTTCTTACATGTCATAAATTATTACACTTTACACAGCATAATTTTGTATGTCGTAAAAGGTTATTTTTAATATATATATATATATAGAGAGAGAGAGAGAGAGAGAAGAAAAGCAAATTCAAAGTTCATTACATGAGTAAACTCAATATCTGAACACATGATATCACTAAAATGCCCACTTTAGTACTTGAAAAACAAATTACAAGATCAGATAGCAAATTATATGTACAAATGAAAGGAAAAAGATTATACACAACACAAGCCAGTCAAGTCTAATTCATTATTAGGAGCAACAGAGAGAGCTAAAGAATCAATTAACTTGGCCAATACAGAAAGGCCCTATGCCAATACCAATTGGAAGGATTCGAAAGCACACATTCCAGAACAACAGAAAAGCACCCAGCTTCCTGCAAAGCCACGGCAAACTCAACAACCTGCAGAAAAATAAATCCATCTTAAGAGGAAATCTCTACTTCAAAGCTTGCAAACTTATGAATTTTTTTGGAAAATATATAATAGTGGTAGGGTCATAACAGTTTTATGCACTCTGCATCACTCAGCAAATTCAAAATTGACAAAAGCTACCCAAAATTGGGAAAAAATGAAGAAAGAATATAACAAGAAAAGAAAATGAAAAGAGACAGTGTGTACCGAAATTGACATGGACATCATCATCCACTTTGACAGAAATCAGCATCCCATTTTGCAACAGTAGTGGAGAAGAAAATTTTGGTTTTTGCAGGCAATTCATGATACCCTTCAACATGCTCCTGCAAGACAACATGACTCATGAGCACCAAAAATTGAGAAAATTTGGTGAATTGTCCACAATATTTTTTGTACATACAAGCTCTGTGCATCCTCACCAGCCTGAGGAAGTCCTTATGCTGAGAATCTTTTGAATCAATAGCTCGATCTAGTATGCTGTTAGATGTTGCACTGCACCAATCAAAACAATTGGCATTCAACATAATTCTCAATTATACACATAGGTGCCCTATATGATGCAAATATATTGTAGCAAGAGCAAAAGTTATGTATCTTCCATTTAGTAATATTATCCTATTCAAATGGATCTGCGTTGGTTTGAGTTAGGACCTGCTTTTTCTAAACCCCAAATTAAAAAGACCTCTATTTCTCAAATGAATTAGACTTTTTGAAATCTTGAAAACAAATAATTTTTGGGTATTAATGGTTAGATTGAAAACCAATACGTCGGAGAAAGGGTTAAGGTTAATTTAAACTTAGATTGGTAGGCTTTTGGGGCTAAAATGTACAATTTGAGGGCATTATGAACAATAGGCTGCAAATAGTACTTGGGGTAATTCAGACAGTGGAGGAGAAGAAGGGGGGAAGAAGTGTCTCACCCTCGTCACAAGGTTTAGTAAAATTCATACAGCCACAACCTCAAATCCTCATAACTCAACTCTCCACTAAAAAGTGAATATTATTTGCAAATCCATAGGATGCTACATTCTCCAAATTCTACAAAAAACAATGACTTCAAAATTTGGAAAGTAAAAATTTTTAACCAACTAAAATATTTTAGAACTAATAACGACTCTATAAAAGATCTAATAACATTATTTAAAGCATGGTAGTAAGACAATAGTAGTCTATTATTCACACATTGAAGCTTTCATTGTATAAAAAGAATATATTGGTCCCAATTGTGTCCTTTTCTCATAGCAGTTACTCTGAAAGTCACATGATCAATTATGTTCAATAATCAAAGTTTCTATAGGGCATGATCATGCATGAATTATTTCAATCAATGTATCACCCATTAAGCTACTCCAATATTTTTATAAAAATACCCATGTTGATTCTAGTCTTTCCAATTTTTTATGCTCATTCGATCAAATATCCTCATAAATCCCTTTCACTCTTTTCCATTTTTTATTCTCTTTCAGCTACAACTCATTTCATTATATCTCATCTAACACCAATGTTTCTCGGCTTTCCAACATTTGCTCTATGGCATTTAGGTCATTCTGTCACTATTCAACATAAATTTTCTTGTTTTCTGGTAAGTATAAATTCTCTTTAAATTTGCTGCTTTTATCATTATTAAAGCACTTAAGGTGAAAATCAAACTTTAACTATCCACCTAAAATCCAGAGGAATATCGTCCCTTAAGGTGCAAAATCAAACTTTAATTGTCCACCTCATACCCTTGAGAAAATCCTCTTCAACTACTGTCTTCTTACAAATGATTATGCTTTGTTGTTAACGTGTAATACTTTTGTAACGAAGTACTCTGTTTATTTGGGGAAATGTGGATCTTTTGTATATAAATGTATGTTTATATTGATGGGTTTAATATTATTATTTTGAGGGCGTTACATACATACCAGTTAAGAAACAGATGCGGAACACAACCAGAAGAGAGGAGACAACTTTAGAATTTTAAACGAAGCAACCTTGGAACCTTGTTTGGTCAAGTATGTTTTAATTAATTTTCATGGACTATAATTTACAGCATCTACATAAGACAAAATAATTGCTGCCTATAAATTTTATTACACTTTTAAGTTTCTACAGCTTATAATTCTAAAAATCAAGTTAATTCCAACTCGTTTCTGTCTACAAAAACCTCCAAACTTTCCCTAACCTTCTTAAATCCTAGAACTACAAGCTCACCTTATTCAAACCAACCGTGATTTCAACCATATGGAGCAGCGATCAAAGTTTCCTTCCTAGTGCAGCTTTACATAAATTTGACATCAAAATCCACGGGAGAGTGCTTCTTGTACTTGTCCACCAACACCAATGTGGAATGCAGATCAATTAAGATTTAGTTCACCTGACCAATTGATTCATTGGCCAAATAGTTCTGCAGTTCTTAGATATACAAACAAACATCTTCATGGTAATTTAGTTTGTCTTTTTCTAGTCTCATCAAAGAACATCACACCACATAAAAGTAAATTACCCTGCAGCATGTGGTAAAGATTATTTGTGCTTGTGCCATGACTACGGTTGTTGACCACCAATGGAATGGAAATACAGTAAACAAAGAATAATCTAAAACTTGTTCATTCTCACAACAAGTGAACATCTCAAAACTTCCTGGATATTCTATTTTAATTTTTAAAGGCAATTCATGTGATAATGATACAGTTATTTGCTTAACAATGTGTATTTTTACACAAGCAGGAGCTGACTTTTGACAAATCTACATCAAGGAAAAGCGATGGATCCAACTTCAAAAAATTAATAATGAGATCATATTGCCTAAAGAATTCCTATTGTTTTCAAATAATACTAAACTAACCAACTATTGAGAAAATGCAGACAAGAGATTTACCTATGGCCGATCATGAACCAGATGATAATTCCCTTCTCTTGTTCCAATTGAAGAAGTCTCTCTCCTAATCAAACCAAAAAAGCTAGTCAAGGAAAGCCATGAAATTAAGATATAGTAGGACATACACACAAAGACAATATCAAATTATCACCTTGAGGCATCCAAGTTTGTCTAACCAAATCATGCCTCTTCCTACTACTAAAAGCAGTATTAATTCCAATAACTATGAAAGCCTTCTTCCTTGCCAAGCCCTCATGAGTCAATTCGAGATGTGAGTGAACTCATCAGATCTCCTCATCTCTTGAGAACTTCGAGTAGCAGCCAGCTCCATCTGAAGCATTGAAATTGACTTGTCTAGTGATCTGCCAGACCTCCGAAAAAACTGAATTATCAATACAAACTTCAATTGATCCAGTACACACGCACAAGAAAAAATACGAAGTATGACGAGTTTCAAACTCACTGAATCGTTCGATACAAAGGAGCTTGTAGAGATCAGTTAGGGTTTGAGATCAATTGATTGAGAATGCATTTGGCTTGTAGTCTACGTTTTCATGGCTCTCACCAAACCCTAACTTCAAATAAAATGATGAATTCGAAGCTTTTGGGAAAATATGATAGAGCCAGAGAAAAATTTATCAATTGGGAGAGAAAGTGAATGACATACATTGGGAGGTCATGCGAAGTCGCGCGATCAATCAAGGCAATGCTAGAAAAGAGCTCGAAAGCTCGCACGCAGAGAGAGAGAGAGAGAGAGAGAGAGAGGGTTTGGGGCAAAAACATGTACAGATAGAATGAGAGGAGTTTGTGTGAGTGGTGAACAGGGCTAAAATAATTTTTTTGAGTCTTTTTTTTTTTTATAGTTATTGTAAGTTTTTAAATATTTTAAATAATTTTTTTAACTTTTTAAATTCAAATAATTTACATATATTTAAAAGAAAAATATTTTTTAATTTTTTAAAAAAATCACTCAATTCAAAAAAATATAAAATTTAATACATTTCATATATATTATATTTTTTTCACAAATACCTTACTTTTTAGTTGTATTCAAATTAGGCACATCTAAAAAGTAAAAAATAAATAAATTATTAAATTAAGGGAAAATATCAAATCAAGGTAATTTTAAAAAAATAATAATTACAAATTAGTGAGAAGCCATATAAATATTAATCATTAAAATTACAAACTTTTTCATGAACATGTAATTTTTTTCCCAAAATCCCACTGGGTGCAATTCTCCCTTAAAAGAGACCCTAAATTATAAAATAATGTATAAATTATTTTTTACGTTGTCCTCAATTAGGAAAATCTAAAGTGAGAAGCTTGGTTGGAAATTGTTAGCTTTTTTAAATAATAAAAAAAGAAAAAAAAAATTGGCTTGAAATTTTTTTTAATAAAAGTTTTCACATGTTAATGTATGCCGTGTAAAGTTATAATATTTCACAACATGAATTGTATGTCGTCTTTAAGTGCAAATATTTTATATCATATTTTTGTATGCCATGAAAATATGCATTTTGGCATGCCATAAAAAAAATTCAAATCGAATTTTTTTTTTTTTTTGCAAAAGTTTTCACAACATGTTAATGCATGCCGTGTAAAGTTATAATATTTTACAACATAAAATGTATGTCGTTTTAAGTGCAAATATTTTACAGCATATTTTTTAAGTCGTGAAAATATAGATTTTTTACGGCATGCTTTTACATGCCATAAATATATGAATTAACGACTTATATGGTATGTATGTCATTATTGAAAAACTACTAATGGCTTGCAAAAAAAAATGTCATAGAATGTACTAATTACAACATGCATTTGATGTGTGCCGCAAAGTTGAAGCCGTAAATAGTTAGTTTTGTTGTGGTGTTAATGGTTCAAAAACTTATAGATCACAAAACCAAGTAAAATAAAAAGTTGCATCCTTCAAAGAAAACATGCATTGCTCCAGAAAATTTGAATGGGAAACAAAAAGAGTACAGAAGAAAAGAAAAGCAGATAGATGCATCAGATTCTTAAATACACAAAACATGAATTTTGGTTTTTGTTTTACCACCAAAACTACATCCCAAGAATCAACCTTTGGCACACTGATTCTAAGAGCTAGAAGAAGGAAGACTCCCACTTCCAATCCAGTTCAAAAAATGCCTACAATGTATTAGTGACCATCTTGTTACTGTCGAAAAAAAATTAAAAAATAAATAAATAAATAAAATTTGTAACGTTACGTACTCTGGGAATAGCCATGGCCAAAACAATATCCATTAAGCACCAACAAGAAACAAAACAATGTAACGTACTAAAACCCATGGAGGAGCTTTCCAGATCATAGAAGTGCCACTGAGTCGGGAATCTTACGAGTAACATGATCATTGTAACGACCATTAGTCCAAAAAGAAACTAGCACGGATGTGAAAAGTTGGGCAACAAAACACATTAGATTATATTTTGTAGCAAGATTCCAATACGTGGAAGTTATACATACACAAGAAACCTTGAAACAAAAGTGGTGGTAAAGTTAGAAAGCGATGTTATTCTAAAATAGCCAGCATTATGTATAATACATATTGGCTCAAGAATCATCTGATACGGTATACAATTATCAATTGTGAATTTCTTCAATAATGAAGAAACAAAGGAATAATAGAATAAATTTCTAACCTTTACTTCGCAGCAGTGGACAAGAACAATGTTCAAGCGCTCCCTGCAGCAGGTGTCATCCAAATAAGAAGCAAATGAGAATGTGCAGCAAAAGCCCTTCCAAAATAACAACTAAGGAAACAAAAATGGTCAGATTTTCATTAACTTCCATAAATTGATTCAATTTTCAAGGTGTAGTCAATTTCATGGAAGTTCATACAAGTTAACATGAGTTTACAACTATAGACATGGCTGTAATTCCAAACATTAAAATGATTAGTATGACAAAGAAAAGGGGTGAAACTTTAAACCATATTTCATCTTTTTTCCCTCACAGAAAAAGGTAATGGGATTTCCAAAGCAGCAAAACTGTTCCAGAAGCAGATATAACTAACGAACCAGATTCTACTCAGCAATTGATGTCTATTCAATGCTAAATAGTATCAGAGGACTGGACTTATGCCTGTACATGCACAAGAAGCTGCAAGTAGGCATTTACATTCAATCAACTTTTATATGCTAATACTAATTAACAGATAAACTTCATATTAAAAGCAATTGCCCAGAGGTGGTCCATAATACAGACAGATTTATATATATGTATATATATATATATAGAGAGAGAGAGAGAGAAGTGCAAAGATTTGACAAAATAAACACAAACTTTGATAAAAGCAAGGCAAACTTTTAGACACTCACTCTTCAAGCAACCAATAGCTTCGCCTTTGGAAATTTTCATTTTCTTCTCCATGGGCATAGTAGCAATGCAGCACATCAACACTCCCAGCCTGAAAGGACATTATACAAGCAAATTACCTTGGAAGTGTAATAAAAATATACAGCATGAACTATTCATTATATCATATAGTGCAAAATTCCTGAAAGTCACAAACTTCTGTCTGGTGTAGACAAAATCAACTTAAAAAATAAAAATTGCCTTCAACAAGCATCATCCTTTCGCACAAACCTTGAGCCTCTCATGAGCTTCCTTCACTGTCTTTCCATCTTTCTTCTTCCTCCAGTTATGGCCATCTTTTCCGAAGTATCTCAATACCTTTCGAAGTATCTCAATACCTTCCGATCAAAAAGAAAAAGTGAACCACCTGAAAAGGGACATGCACGTCAAGCCAAGATACTTTGAAGATATGAGAAAATACCCTCTTCTATCCAACAAAATTTAATGGGAAAATGCCCTAAATGAAGATAATGACACATTTAGATCACAAACATGACAGCAATAAATGCCCCTACAGCTTCAAACCATGTTATTATCTATGAGTTAAACATAAGCTGCGTGCTACTCCTAACTATCTAGAATTATCAATTACAGAGAGGAAATAACCAAGGCAGCTAATTTAAAACTAAAAGGCTCTTGTAGTGAGGATAAAAAGGCAGGACTAGAAGAACCAAGACAGACAGAAAAAAATTGAAATGACAAATAAGCATCAATGCCATCTGCAGAAAATAATGCAATTCCATTTTCCAAGCCACGAGTTGTGTGGAGAATGATGTCCTAAGCAGAATATAAACTCCCAATGGATTTAAAGGAAACAAAAATCGAAAATGAATTTCAACAACAATCAATGTTCAGGCGAAAATGAGATAACACTAAGTGCTAGTTGGATCTCAATATCTCATTGAATTTGAAAGAGGTTACAAATGGGAATTTCAATGATGATGTCAGTCAGAACCAAAAGATAATTATATTTAGCAATAAAACATATAAAGGAACAAAGAGTGGAAGTTTAACATAAAGAGTTGGGAAAAATAAAAAGAAAAAGAAACAATAATGCAGACAAAAAGACCCAAGAACAAGGGCATGAACATAAAGAGATATAAATAGGCAATGCGGGATAGCTGTTAAATTGATAGAAGTGAAATAACAACTTGAAAAATGCAAGGGACAAAAACTTTATCATCCTTGGCCTTTAGAAAGTGTGCCAAAGGCAAATACAAGAAAAATATTTGAAAATAAGAGTTTAAAGACGTTAAATATAAAGAAATTACTGCTTCTCAAACTTCCCAGTTTTTCCCATACTGAACTTCTCCACTTTGAATTTACGTGTAAATGATTGACTACCTACAGCATATGTTACAGAAGTGTTGAGGAAATAAATGGCATCACACAAGTTGCGATACAGATTTGATCTTGGGTGTAAAAAAAAAAAAAATGAAGGAAGAAGAAGAAGAAGAAAACAATAGAAAATAAAACTAAAACAAATGAACTACAAACAACTTGACCAAAACAGAGTTTTATGCAAGAAGAAATTTTACCAACAGATCATTTTTAACACTCCAATCCATCTAAAAGTTAATATGAAAATCACGAAAGAACTTTCCAATAAATTAAAGCAAAAAACGAAACTTCACAATTCATCAAACACTTGGCCTTCAAAAATTCTGAGGTGGAAAAAAAAGTTAGGGTGGGTTGCACCTCAGCGAAATAAACAAAATTGGTTATTTGGTTAAAGTTCCTAAAGACACCTTAAACAGATGTGCACCATTGTGTATCCATACCTAAACCGTGAAGGCATTAAAAGTAACAATTCGAGAAAAAAAAAAAACTACAAAAACAGAGATCCTTTTTGCTGAATTTACAATCAGACCAATTGATAACCAGCTTTGATGATGAACTTCAAACAAATCCATCAATAAACACAACATATAAGCACATATTTATCCTGATTCGATCATATTCAAACAGTCCAAAATTCATTTCCACAGCAAAGAATCGATCATATGCTTCAAAACTCATCAGATCTACCGATCACAAATCGATCAATCGAGACTAATATATACAAATATACGCATATACAGAGATTTGACTGTAACTTTGAAGAACCGAAGATAAGAAGAAGAAAAATATCTGACTTTTGATCAAAACCTACCTCAAAGGCCCGATCGATCAAGGGAATGCGCACAGAACATACCTCAAACAGACTAGAACGAAGAGAGCACGAGAGCACGCACGCCGAGAGAGAGAGAGAGAGATAGGGGGGGTTGCACTCGCCTTCGGGCCCAGTTCGTATGGTTTATATTTTAAGATTTATTCAGCATGTGATATTCGTAAAAGATTAAGCTAATCGTATATTAAAAAATATATGTTTAGAAAAATTGAATTAAAAATTATTATTTTAAAAATTTTAATAAATAATTTTTCATTTTCAAACATATGTTTTTTGATATTTAATTAATTTAATTTTTTATAAATATGATATATTGAATAAATCTTAAAATATAAACTATTCGAATTATCAAAATTAAGTCTAAAAGTGGGTTCGAAAGCCCTTCAAAAAGGAAGTGCAAGGGCAGGATCCCAATTCGGGGGTTGATGGCAAAAACATGTATAAACAGAATGAGATGGAGAGCAGTGAACGGGCTTAAATTAATGTTTTTGGGTTTTTTTTTTATTATTTTTAGTTATTGTAAGTTTTTAAATATTTTAAATAATTTTATTTATTTTTAAATTCAAATAATTTACATATATTTAGAAGGAAAATATTTTTTTAATTTTTTTTAAAAAAACACTAAATTCAAAAAAATATATAATTTAATACATTTCATATGTATTATATTTTTTTTAAAATATTTTTCTTTTTAGCTGTATCCAGATTAGGTATATCTAAAAAGTAAAAAATAAATAAACTATTAAAAGAAGGGAAAATATCAAATCAAGGTAATTTATAAAAAAAAAATTTAATTACAAATTAGTGAGAAAATACTAATAATTATAATTATAAACTTTTTCATGAATATATAATTTTTTTTCCAAAATTTCACTGGTTCAATTATTCCTTAAAAGAAGACTCTAAATTATAAAATAATGTATAAATTATTTTTTACATTGTCCTCAATTAGGAAAATTTAATGTGAGAAGCTTGGCTTGGAAATTGTTAGTTTTTTTAAATCAAACAAAAAAAATCGGATTGAAATTTTTTTAAATAAAAGTTTTCACGACATGCTAATGCATGCCGTGTAAAGTTATAATATTTTACGACATGAAATGTATGTCGTCTTAAGTGTAAAGATTTTATGTCATATTTTTGTATGCTGTGAAAATATGCATTTTTTACGACATGCTTCTGCATGTCATAAAACAAGTCGAATTGAATTTATTTTTATTTTTTTGTAGAAGTTTTCACGACATGTTAATGCATGCTGTGTAAAGTTATAATATTTTCCAACATGAAATGTATGTCGTCTTAAGTGCAAATATTTTAGGACATATTTTTTAAGTTGTGAAAATATATATTTTTTACAGCATACTTTTGTATGCCATAAATATATGAATTAACGGCTTACATGGTATGTATGTCGTTATTGAAAAACCATTAACGGCTTGCAAAAGAAAAAAAAATGTCGTAGAATGTACTAATTACGACATGCATTTAATGTATGCCGTAAAGTTGAAGCTGTAAATAATTAGTTTTGTTGTAATTTAATAAACCTCAGGGGGTGTATTTGTAATTTACCATTTTTTTTATTACACTTATATCCCTTTGAAAATTACTGTTTTGGACTCCACCACCTACCGCCTGCCTCAACTTTCTTTTCTTCTCCGGCCACAATCATTGGCACCCACCATCACAACCATCCTCGCTGGTCGCCTCTCTAGTCTCCGTCTCCTCTTCTTATTTGTCTGTCTCTCTCTCTCTCTCTGTCCCTTCTTCTTTTTCTCTACCTCTCCTAAAACCCTAACCCTAGATCTAGGGTTTTCAAAGAGCGGTGGCAGTAGGTCACGATTTCGTGGCAAAGGTGAGAGGTAATGGCAATGGCAATGGGTTGCAATTTGGCGATGGTGGTGGGTCAATCTAAAGTTTTGGAAGAAGAAGAAGAATGAGAAAAAGGGAATAAAGATGAGAGAAGGGCAACAATGGATAGTGGGTGGTGATAGCAGTGGCGGTGGGTGGTAGGCGATGATGTGGGTTTGCGACAGTGTTATATCTAGATCTAAGGTTAGGGTTTCAGGAGAAGAAGAGTAAGAAGAAGAAGAAGAAGAAGAAGAAGAAGAAGACAAAAGAGACGATGAGGGGGAGAGGGTTAGGGTTTCTAGAACTAGGGTTAGGGTTTCGGCGATGGTCATATGCGCTGCCTCTTAATTTGATGAAATATCAACAAAATCCCGACATGCGGCCACATTTTTTCTTTTTCTTTTTTTGCAATGGATTTCTCTTTTATTGGTTTAAAGATAAAATATGAACATTTGATGGAATAACAACTAGGGTTGATAGGTTATGCCACGAGACAAAAGTTTTATTGATTGTCAACTACGAATAACAAGTATGGTCAGCAAAAAAATTTGAGACAAAAGTTCCATTGATTGTTGGTGGAAAGGTCATGCTATGATGTGATGACAATTTTTTTTTTTTTCAGTTTTTGTTTTGTTTCTTTACTATTTATTTTTTTGTGGAATTTTTTCCCTTGCTTTTTATTCGTAGGATTATGATTCCTCTTATATTGAATTGAGTTGGGTTGTAATGTGAATTTACTTGGATTTGTAGGATGGCAAGCTGGTGTAGGAAATGTGTATATTTAAAACCAAAATTGGAAAAATTGGCATCCGAGGTTAGATTGAATTTTTGTTTATAACCATCCGAGATCTAATTTTCTCATGCTGGTTATCAAAAACTTGTGTGAGCTTTATGCAAGAAAGCGTGTTATTACTTGCCGTTTGAGTCTTTCTATTTAAGTAGTTGTAATGTATCAGTACTTTACCTATAGGGGTGATGAAAAGGTAGTTTATCTCTAGAACTGCCACGTGCATTCTTTCTCTTGGCATATTTAATTCTTCCATTAAGATTTTGATGTATAGCATTAAAATTTTTCAAATCTCACTTGGTGACGCCATAATTATTAACCATTTTATAGTATGTGTTGATGTAGGATACGATTCTATTGTCTAGACGTGAATAATGTCCCATACAAGCCTATGGTTAGTGTAGTAGTCACTGTAAGTCGCTCAACTTTACAATTAATTTACATGCTATTGGTTTTTGTTTTGCCTCATTATTTCATGTTATTACCTGTGCTCGTTGTATTAGGAAATAGAAATAAATAAGCTATTGTTCTCTTCTAAGGTGCATGTTGAGTATTAATAACAAATTGTAACAATAATAAACAGTCCATGAATTGAAACTATGTGTTGGATTGCATATATATGGTCATTCAAATGTCTCATAATACATAATATTTACTTTTCAACTTAAAGTTCTATGTTACATAGATTTGAGTACAAGTATCAGGTGTAGGTGTATGTCCAAATATCATACCTTCATAAACTTAAATAAATTTTAAAATATTGGGATATGTATCAAAAAATTGGATATGGGTATGCACAATAGTTATTGCATATTGTGATGGCTGCATGTTTTTTGTTGAGTGAATTGCATAAGTTTCGGACTAGAGTTTACTTTCATCAAGACTTTTGTTTTAACTACTTAAGTAATGGCTGCATGTTTTTTGTATGAGTGAATTGCAGAAGAGTTGCAGATAGGCCAAGAGATCCTGCCAAATGGAGGGAGATTGCTAATGTTGTAGCCGCACTATCTATTCCCGTTATAGCGAATGGTGATGTCTTCGAATATGAAGATATTCAGTACATTAAATTGGCAACTAGTAAGTAAAAGATCTCCAATCAATTCTTTAAATGATGTATCTATGCTGGATATTTTTCATATCATGCAAATGATGATCAGTGACTAATTTGTTCTTACCCTTTTTTTTTATGCGTCTATTCTCTCTCTCTCTCTCTCTCTCTCTCTCTATAATGATATTTGCAATTTAAGTGATCATCCTCCTTTTTTTCTTTTTCTTTTTTTAAGGTGCCTCGGTTGTGATGGTTGCTAGAGGAGCTCTTTGAAAAGCACAAGACACATTTTGAAGGAAATGATAATGCATTTTTCTACCCTTGAACTCCTGGAAGGAAAGGCTGTGATTAAATCTTAAACGTTGGCAAATCTAGTGCAAGTATATTAATTTTTTTTTTTGGCTCTAGTTTGTTGTAATAATAGGATTACTATCAGAAACAATAGGATTACTATTGCATAGGCTTAAATCCCTATTGCTTCAATCAGTGTAATTACTGAGTTGCAACAATTTGATAGGATTGGTATAATATGACTTTTGAACTATATTAATACTTCTATGCAATGTTGGAAATTTGTTGTCAGCATATGAAAAAAGTTACATGAATGTATAAAGAAAGAAAATTTCCATGCTTTTATAGTGCCAAACGTGTGGCATAGCTTATTTCTAGTTAATGACTGGAAATAAGTTATTTTTATGATATTACAATGGTACATTTTCAGATCATATTTCATGATAAGATAGTATAATTTACGAATGTACATGAATCTTGTGTTAATTTGAATTTGAATGATTACCATTTCGTTTTATTTTAATTGTTTTATGATTTCCACAAATCAACCAAAACTAAATCACCTAACACATGCTGTGCCAATGTTGTAACATTGCAACTAACTGCTCATAACCTGATACTTGAGAATTTCTATGGAGAATTGGAATCCAATTTGGATCGTGGAACTTCAGAAATTGGAGGGTGATATTTTGGATCATCCTTTCCTATTAGAGTATTTTTATTAATGTAGAACAATTTATTGGTTAGTCCTCATCTGCTTCCGTAGAGTAGCTTCTAGTTCAAATTCTTAAAAATAGTGATTTGTTTGTTTTAAGACACAGAACAATTTTAGTTTATATGTTTATCTGTTCCTATAGTTGTTCATATCAACTAAAGTTTTTGTGTCATGTTGTGCAGTAATCTCACTGATTTTTCTTCCAGGGTGGATAAGATTCTAAAGATCCAAAGTAAAGCACTGCTGATATGACAGTTTTTGTAAGTCTCGTGATATGTGGTCCTCCCTATAAGATTTTTTGTAACTTTATGGCTTTCATCTAGCCATGGTGAGGTGATACTTTTCTGGTGATATGAAGCATACTTCAGGCATTTGGATTTGTTCTGCTCTTATTGTGACAACTCCTTAGTTCAAATGCATAATACATACATATATATATATATATATATATATATATTGTTTGAGAATTGGCATTCTTTATTCAATTTTGTATCTCTTTGGATGTGCATGTCAGCTCTTGATTGATAAAGATCATCCCATTGTACATAATCTTTTGTTTTGTTGTCTGCAAGAAAAAAGATTGCTTAAAAAATAACTGCTCTATATGATAGAAGCGTGTTAAAATATTTTTTCTGCCTTTTTCTGTGGTTTCAAAGCCTCAGAAATGACTGATTTGTTTAAGTTGTTCTTCCAGATACAAAACCTTCTTCAACAGATGGTGAGTTGTAATGTAGATCTTATGTTTTACAGTTGCAACACTTCTACTGTTGTTGATTTATGCAATTCACCTGATTTGGCTACATGTTCTGATGTAGGTATCCAGACCAGTGAAGACTACAGATTCTATGCTATATCAACTGAGTTCAGTGAATTTAGTAACAAGGGCAAGACATTAAATTAAATCATAACTCATAGGGTTTGTCTTGATGTTTTTCCTATTATTTGTTGGCGAATGTTAAAACATGATTTGTGGATATATTATTTTGTAGTTAATGGTGATTGGATATTAAATTGAATGAGAAAGTGAATTAATGTTATATTTGCTACCTGACAGCTTTTCATATAATTGGCTTATCTTTTGACAAATGTTCATTTGAATGGAAATGGGAGTGTTATTGTTTCATATTAGTGCTACTTTTCAATTTTATTACTGGTATTTTTTTAGTTCAACCACATAGAATTAGCACAATTTCAAAAAAACAATTAAAAAAATAAAGATATAATGGCATTTTTCAAAATGTCACTATATAGCTAATGGTTAGTTTTTTAAAATAAAAAAAAGCTATGACGACATTTTTGAAACGTCACTAAAAATTGTCATGATGTCACTTTGCCGTTATGTACCACATTTAGCAAATTAACGACGTTTTTAAAGCGCTGCAATGCTACAACGACGGCTGCGTCCTCGGCATTTGGTGCTAAGCGTCACAAAAGAATTAGCGGCATTTTTAGCACCAACACCGCTAAAAGCTAAATTTCCTGTAGTGTATGGATCAGTTGGGAATAGATTATTTTGGTAACAGAAAATATTGAAGACTCAAAAAAAAATTATGTACTCACAATGATGTAGTATCATATGTGTCAATTTTGATTTGTTACAAATCCAATAATATAAAGCCTAACTCCCTTGGCACATATGAATTGTTTAGTAAAAAAAAATTATTAAATTTTTTAAAAAAATTGTGATTATTTCACAATTACCAAGTGCTTCTCGGGCACGTGATAAGCAGCAACCAATAATACTTTATTTCATGACTCTTGAAATTTTTTCAATTTTAAATAATAGGTTAAAAATACAAAACTATTACATGCACCTAATTTAATTAATGAATAAATTAGACTTTGCAACCCTGCATTTTATATTGAATCTCATTTTAATCTCTACACATGAAATTATAACAGTTACCTCCTGCACTTTTAGTTAATTGTCAATATCTCCCTTTTATTACTCTATTGTATAAATCTTTAATAAAAATAATAATATAATAAGCACATGACTACGGAGTGTAATTTACCCTTAATTAATAGTTTAAAAATAGAAAATTACTAAATTCAAAAAAAAAAATAATATTAAATACGCATTAATAATTTAAAATTAGACCGTTACTAAAATCAAGAAAAATTAATACTATCCTATTTAATAGAATTAAGGTGCCTATTGTCCTGATCAAAAATAAAAAATTAGGGTGCCTATTGTATATGTCAAGCACTACTAGCACTGTTGTTCTCATGGTGTGGCTTGCTCCGATTCTTATTTTAATGATTGAAACAATTTATTTTTTAGAGTATATTGTGTACAATATACTTATAAAAAATAAGTTAATTGGACAACGATAACCCTTTAATCGAAACATATTTATATTCAATATTATATTTAAAATAACACTTACTATTCATTTTTATTGATACAAATGTGTTTTGCTAAAAGAGTTACTGTTATCAGATCAACTTGATTATTTATAGATATATTCTTCATGGTATATGCTAAAAAATAAACAGTTCGGATTATCAATATAAGACTCGAAGTGAGCCTCAAAGCGTGCACAATAGTGCCCACATACTTGATGCACAATAGCCACCCCAATTCCCTATTTAACACATGGCTAATGCTAGGAATACCAAATTTTTTACCAAACAAATGACCAAATGTCTCACATGAGTGTGGGTCCATGTGAGACATTTGGTCATTTGTTTGGTAGAAAATTTGAGGCCTATAACATTTTTTCTTAACCACATCTTATCAAATACCCCAGAGACATTTATTAGCATTAACCATAATTAATAATGGGCATTGCTAGACATCAGCTTCTTTTACTAGTATATATATTCGAACCATTCCCATTCCCATTCCCATTCCCATTCCCATTTGTATTAAGGTTTCAAAATCATTCTCGTGACAGAAGTCTATTGTCTTTCAGGTATTTGTTTATGATTTATGGCATTATATTTTTTCCTAGTTAATAATTTGTTATTTTTAAATAGAAATTTTTGTAACTTCCTTCAAATGTAAAGATGTTTTAGTCTAAATTCCAAATTAGATAGTGAAAAATTAAATAAATGTTTGTCATTCAATCAAGCAAAGCTGCATTTCACAACATCTCTCCCTACAGTATACTTTGTTAACAGAAAACGGTGTTAATTCATGCTTAATAGTTGTAAAATTAGTATATTTAAATCCATTTTTACTAAACTCAAGAAAATAAAGATAAAAAATTATTGAATTTTCCTTCAATTACTTACAAATAATATACATTATTCCCACTTGCATTTTTTTATATGGCAATCATTACTTTAAACAAATTATGCCTTGATTTTTGTATGTGCGTTTGTAAATTTACTCAATATTTCCTGTTTAATTTGTCTGTTCATTTTCATTGTTATTTGGTTTACTTTGGTTTAGCAGTTTGACATGTCTTTTTTACTCTCTTCATAATAGAATTTTGCTAACCATTAGGCGCTATTTTTGGTTCATTAAAATGAATTGTGATTCCATAGACTTTCATATGGAATGACTATTTATTTAAAATTGTGAAAGGTAATTCTATTTATAATACGTTTGTTAATATTTTTTTAATTTAATCAAACAAGTGAATGAATATTTTGATGGAATGATAATTTCATTCCACTTTAATCATTCTAATGAATGAAACACTACCTAAGGAGTTGGCCTGGTAGTCAAGGCTGGGAAAATGGAGATGTGCTCTCTCTATGTTCTTAAGTTCAAAATCTCCTTGTCCCAAACAATTTTTTGAGTCAATCTATACTTTAATTGGACCATTTGTTAGTAAACAGTGAGATTGGTGGTTACCAAGTTATCAAAAATAAATAAATAATAATGCTCTCTCGCACTCTTATTAAAATAAATTAAGAAATTGATTGACAAAAATAAACTTTACATGAATAATTTAATTAAAATAATATGACAATGATATTTTAAAATAATAAGTTACTTTGATAAGACTATCTAATTTAAAATGAATTTTCCTATATTATAAATTTATCACCTCATTGGTATAATTTTTCTCCATCAAAAACCCAATGGTTAGCCACATCCAGTCAAATTGATATTTTCAGTTTTCAACTGAAATTAAATTGGAGTAATGCAAGAGATTGAGTTTTTAATTCATTAATTCTTTTCATTGGAAATAAATTTAATTATTATATTTTTAAGGGTATATTTTTTTTTTTTGGGTCAATATGTAAGAGAGATATTTACAACCAATCTATCAAGCCCAACTTCTGTATCGAAATTGAAGCAGTGACGTCTATACAGCTATTAGATTAAATATCCTAATTTAATTTTATGAATCTTAAACATTCTCCTCCATATAAAATGTGCGTCCTAGTTTCAATTGCAATACTACTAGAAAGTTAGCATTTTGCGTGTAATCTTTTGCGACCGACTATATTACCGTCGCAAAAACAAATATTTGCAACTGCAAAAAAAGCGGATGCAAAAAAATAAATGAATGGAACATGATTTTACTTTGCTCAATTTATTATTCCTATTTCTTTTATTTCTTTTATATACCAATGCCCTAGCCCCTTTTACTCTCACGACATTCACAAACTGTCTCTTGCTCTCTTGCTCGCCATAGTCGCAGCTCCAGCGGTCTGAATCTCTGTCTCTCGGTCTCTCACTTTCTTCATCATGTTCTGTTTCTCTGATCTTCAATTTCATTTTTCGACTCGAAATTTGATTTTCTAAGTTGAATTTTCTTGAGAAAGATACAGCCTCTAGGAGACTTGATCGACGATGAAACAGAAAATTGTTGAGTGAAATTAAGCTAATTGTGTGATCGGGCAAAGAGAAAAAAAATAGAGAGATGAGAAGCACGAACAACAACGCTCTAGATAGGATAAGCGCTGCTGCGACTGAGATCGCGTCAGCTGGGACTCAAGCTTCGGTTCAGGTAAACAATTTGATTAGAATTTTAACTATAATTTACGTTGCTTGTTGTGGTTGATGATTTGATTATCTCAATTAGATACATGAATCTCTTGAGTTTTGATTTCTAATTCTAAGCTCTGTATAATCTGAACATTTAGGTTCAAGGTCTGCTGATTATATATATGTTACGTTGATCATTTCACTTTGTTTTATGTAGTTTTTGGAAATTATATTTGTTTAATGCTTTTTATTTTTTGTTGCAAGTCATCCTCATCATCTTGAAATTGAGAAGACAAAGAAGATGGAGAAGGCAAAGAAGATGCTGAAAGTATGACCTGAGATGTATCCTACAATATATATATATATATATATATATCACTTTGTTAACGTTATTGTTTGGCACTAAGTGTTTGAATGAACAAGCACTGATTAGCAATACAAATGGTAAATTATTATTTATGATAGCCTTTGAAAGATTTGGTTATGATAAATTTTATTTTTTTCTGTTTTGGAGGAAATAACCATTGACATTGACAACCTGAAGCTCATCTTGTCATAATAGCTTGTGGGTCTGCTTTGGAGGTAATTTATACTGTTGTTATCTCTTTTGATAATGTTAATGTTGGCCTAAATTAAAAGTTAATGTATTCTCTGAAGCTCCGTCATCGGTACTCCCAAAAAGAAGCACTCCTCGATTGCCAGAGTTTCAAGTGCATGCTCAAACTCGTATACTGCTTGTGCATCTGTGCATGTACAAATATCATTGTTTTGAGTCTAAGTTTGGGCCATATCTTGTGCAAATAAAATCTCTTGCCACTTTGTGTGGCTAAAATATTCCTTCATCATGTTCCTTCTCAGGAATTTCACCTGAAGATGGTGGAGAGGGCTATGCAACATACATCTGCAATTTCATCATCTTCGGTTTCTTGCAGTGATACTGATAAGGTTTGTGATTGAATTTACCTACCAAAAAAAAAATTGTTATTGAATTTAATGGATACTTAAGTATACTCTGACACAATTAATATATTGTGTCCTTGATTGCGACTCTTGTGCCTAAGAAGGATACAGCACAGTTCCAATTAATATATGTATGCTTATGTTTATTTTAAAATGTTGTTAAATAAAAAATTGAGTTAAAAATTGAAAACTAGATTAAAGTAGTTTGATGTTTAATTTTTATAATAATAAATTAAGGTAGTTAAATTAATTATATATATATATATATAGTATGTATATTTAATTTAAAGTGTTGTTAAATAAGAAATTTAGATTAAAAGATAAAACAAGGTTCGTTTCGTTTTCTTACATTGAAATTTAACTTTGACTAATTTTTTTTTTTCCCCTTCTCCACTCTCAAAATATGCACGTGAAACAAACTCTCATATACAATACCTAATATATACGATGATATTCTCACAAAGTCAACCAAGATATTGTCTTGCCCAATGTTGAATCCACAATGCCGATGTCGAATCCACGACGATGAGCCACTCCAGAATCCACCAAAGCTTC